TTTAACTCATATTCCTTATTATATATTTCAAATATCTTTATACTATATATTTCAAAAGAAAAAAAATAATAGTAAAAACTCTTTTTTGGTGCTTCATGTAGTATTAAACAATTGGTAACAATTTTTAATGATTAGTAACAATTTTTAACAATTGGTAAAAATTTTTAACAACTGGTAACAACTTTTAACAATTAGTAAGAATAAAGAAAGTATTTTTTGAAAGTGCCAATTATTCAAAAATACTACAACAAAAAGAAAATTAAGTAAATATTCAATAACTTGAATCTTGTTTTTTTTGAAACTCAAATCACTTTTCCGATTCAATTTGAAATTTTGAAGATTCACATGGCCCTAATGTGGGTATGTATGTATGTATGCATGCATGTATGTATGTATGTATGCATGCATGCATGCATGTATGTATGTATGTATGTATGTATGTATGTATGTATGTATGTATGTATGTATGTATGTATGTATGTATGTATGTATGTATGTATGTATGTATGTATGTATATATGTATTTATGTATGTATGTATGTATGTATGTATGTATATATATATATATATATATATATATATATATATATATATATATATATATATATATATATATATATAAACACACACACACATAGGAAACACACATATATAAATTTAATAAATGACAATATAGTCAATGAAAGACTATTTTAGAAAGAAAACAATGAAAGACTATTTTAAATATTTATATTTATTTATTATTATATTTACAGGCCTCGGCGGGAACAAATGAGCATGAGAGCTGAGAAAAGCTCTCCTAAAACAAATTAGGGAAGCTGTGCGAGCTGCTCCTCATTTAAATTAGCACTCTTTTGTAATTTTAATTTCCTTCATGAGAAAACTTATACTTTTGCGAGAGCCGTAAATTGCTCCTGTAAACTGTTTTAGGGGAGTGTGGGCGAGAGCGAGAGCTAAAGCTCTCGCTTCCTGCCAAGGCCTATATTTATATTAACTTACTTTCAATAACTTGACCAAATTTAAGAATTTGGAAAAACTTTTTTTGAAGATTACCTTGCCCTGTCCATACCTTAATCACAGATGTAATTATGATCACTTTTTCCAATCTTGTTTTACTTTTTTTATTCAATACAGAGACAGGTGTCTGCAGACAAGACTTTTTTTGCTACTTTCCTTTTGGCTGCTACTCAAGACATTTTTAATTCTTGATGTTCATTAAAAACTTGTGAGTCACTATCATATTTTCATCAGGTTATTTCTGTACTCTAAACACATAAGTCTAATGTTAAAATATAATTTATAGAAATTTTTATGGTATATTATAAACACCTTAAAGTATGCATTAAAAAGTATACATGAAATACAAAATAATGCCTTAAGATATTACGATGTTCAGTAAAAATAATTTTAAGGTTAAACATTAACGGAGTTAATAAGTGTATACTTTATTCAACAAACAATAATTAAAACTTAGTGAAGTACTTGTTTTACTCAACGCCAAATTAAAAATAAAGAAATTATAAAGAAATATAATTAAGGTTGAATAAATATATAAAATAAAGGAAAATAAAGGTGGAGGATGATGACAATGATGATGAGATCATATAAAATATAGCATAAAAAATACATAAGAGGGTCAGAAGCCAAGGGGTACAAGTGACATTTTCATAGTTTTGAGATACAGCTGTTTAAAGTTAAAGTATTTTTGTTAAATATACTCAGCTGTTGTTATGTTTTTCCAGTAGAAAGCAGCACAGGGCAGAGATTCATTTGTATCCCTTGGCCACCAACAATTTTGTTTGCTTCTTCTATCAAATTCTATACTTAACTTAATTTTGGTAAAATTGTCACTTGTACCCCTTGGCTTCTGACCCACTCATATATATAATGAATTTGATTTAAATACATAAAAAACACAAATTTAAATAAAATTTTAGGATGCATTAACATTTAAGCAGCTCTGGTCATCGATCAGCAAATTAAATCAGTGAATTCTTGTGATATTATGCTGAAAAGATCAAAATGGTAAATCACCATCTAGTTTATCTATTACAATATTCTTATCACTTTTATCTGAATCGTTATCAGATAAAGCTTCAAATTCACTAATTTCATTATCAATTTGATAAAAAATATTAAGGGTTATTATCCAGAGCAGTGGTGTTGGAAGGTTCATTATCTGAAGTGTTCAACCCATGTTTTTTGCAATTGCTTTGAACGACTGTTTTAAGCAAAGCGTCAATAGGCTGAGGAAAATAAAACCCAGTTTTACCTATGTAATCATAGTTATAGGCTCCATCAATAACCATTTCCCCTTGGTTGATTTCGGACAAATAAATAAATAAATAAAAGTTAAAATAAAATAATTTTAACTTCTCGAATTTTTTTTCTTTCAGACTAAAAGCTTATAACTATAACCAAGATAACTAAATATACAGGATGTGATATAATGAAAATTATATACTTGAATGAAAACATAAATGTATTTTTCTCTCCGTAAAATTTACATCTACATTAAAAACATTTTGCACCATGCATTTTTCTACCTATGGGGAGCCATTAATGATACGCTTATGGTCCAGCAATGGCAAGCCAGTTCTGGTTCACCAGCTAAGGCCCTTAACTGGATCACATGTGTTTTGCCGGACCTGGCTTGCCAGCTCTGGCCCATGAATATACTGCTGATTGGGTGCGAGCTTGGGGCGTATTTTACGTCACTTAAGTAAGAAAAAAAAGCGTTTTTTTAGTTGAATGCTATTACGTGGCGTTTTGTGACATGACCTAGGTCTTCTTAGAGCACAGAAAGACACGGAGTGCGTACAACGGACAAACTTTTGTTTAATTGCAAATGTATTTTACTCAAAAAATGAATTCTCAATAAAAATTACATCGCAACACATTTGTTGAACAACCTTTTATAATGGTAAATGATTGCCATTTAAATTTTTTTGGTGAAATTTACGATTAAAAAAAAGATGTTTATGAATTGAATCAAAATATCTTAATGACCCTCCCCCTCAAGCCTACTCATGATATAAAAAAGAACTATTATTAACCTCCTTCATTTACTTTAAAATTTCTTCAAAGTTATTAAGATACTTAATTTTATAAAATTAAAGTTTTTTTCATTAATACTCTTCATTAATGAAAAAATGTAAGTTGAGTTTGTTTTTTCTAAACTTTAGGCAATTTCGCAGGTATGTCAATAATTTCAATCTTGTAATCCCGGCTTAATAATTAAATTATATATTATGATGCACTATAACTGTTTCATTGTTTATCGCGGTAAATAGATTGTCAAGACGCTGACCGGAATACAACGGAGAAATGCTTTTGATAATACTAAAAGCTTTTGATTATACAAAAGACTTTCTTTTTTTGTTGATTTATTATGTTAATGTTTCTATATTACCTAAAGAAATAATCAATAATCATAACAAGCGATACTATATTGTTTAAAGAATCAAAAAAATGATATATAAATTTTTGATTGTAATTTTTTACAAACAAGTTTTTGGTTCCTCTGATTGTATTAAAAAAAACTTTACAGCCGCATCAGGTTTAGTTGAAAGCACCACTAATTTAAATGCTGATTGTTATAACTACACCATTAATGTCGAGTCAAAACTAGTTCAACTGACTTGGAATAATTTTGAAATGGATGCAACTATGCCTACTTGCAAAGATGGGGAATACATTACGGTTTTTATTGGGTACGTCTTCAAAAAACTCAGTTTATAATTTTTTTATCTTTTAGCTTTTTGCGCTCACGTCTGTGGTAAATTAAAAACGTCAACTTAATGAATATAACTTTTTTATTATAACGCTTTTGTTTTATACTTTTATTATAATTACTTATTTTACTGTTTATAAATAACACCGTTAATAAACTTTATTTAATTAAATATGATATATTTTTATATAATTATGTTACAGTTTAAACCGCTAAGGCAAGAAATAAATCTGAAAATAAATAAATGTTTTAAAACGTAGATGTTTAATAATCTTATGAAGATAAGATGTAAATAAATCTTCTGATGCACCAAGCTGTCGTCGCAATTTTAAACTTAACTGGCTTTTAGCTTTGCTTAAAAAACTTTTTTTTTTTAAAAAACTTTAAAAACTTTTTTTAAAAAAAGTTCTCTTTAACTAGTTAGCCAAATATAACATACTTAAAATATTTTCAGTTTCTTCTTAAAATGGTATACTTTTTTTTTTTTTTTTTGAGGAATAGGGGGAAGGGGGATATTGATACCAAAATTCAATAGACGTGTACCCGGGTACGATTACCCGGGTTTACGATTTTCGACATCATTTTTTTTTTTAAGTTAATTAAGGTGCTCTAGAAGTCCTTACGGTCTTATCACAAAGCACCGCGGAAAAGCATTTAATAGGAATTTCACGCCTCTTTCCCAACCGATGTCGCAAAACTTGCCCAGAGGTGGGGTTTGAACCAAGGATCTTACTTCTGAGGCAAGTGCTACCACTGCGCCACGGCTGCTTTTTTTCATCTTATCGGTGTAAAATAACTCACTGTGTTTGCTCAATGTGAACTTTATTAACTTTTTAAAAGTAACATCAATTTTTTAACTACCGTATGTTAAACATATGCTTTCAAAAGTTCAATATTCACCTGATGTATTCCTAAAAATTAAGTTTTAATAAGTTATTTGAACTGTTTGATAGTTTGTTTTATTTAAGGCAGTTAGTCAGAATATTGGCTTATAAAATTCAAATAGTCTAATGTAAAAAATACAAAATAATAACTATTTTTAATTCTGCAAAGAGCAAGACATTGTTGTGTAATCTTTAAAGAAAAATAATTGATTGATTCAATTGATAAAAGAATTTTTGGACATAAGATTCAGTTTTGATATAAATATTTAAACAAAATCGTAAGGCCCTTAGAGAAGTGCTACTGGAAAGAGTAAAAAAAGGTATTAACAGTTGTTGTTATGCTTTTTGCTGCCTAGAATAAGACAATAGAAGTAGCAGTGAATTTAATTTACTTGAATTGTGAACCATTCCATCAAAAAAAAAAAAAAAAAATTTGTTTTGTTCAAAATGCTGTCATTTAAATGTTCTGGTAATTGTCACCCTTGCAACTTAAAAAATAACTTTTTCAAAATGCTATAATTACTTCAAAGAAGTTACTTCAGAGAAATGTTATTAAAAGAGTTTTAATACTAAAAGTTTCTTTAACGCTTAAAGAAATGTTTTGGTTAGCGACAGTATATAAAAAATAAAAGAGCAAGAGGAAACACTCTTCCTGTTAAATTTTTTTCAATTCACAATCCTCTCATCTATCCAGGTAAAAACTCTTTTAATGTACTGACTTATTTAGGTTATTATTTATGTTTCCTTATGATATTGGATTTTTTTTGTTGTAGAAGTTTTAAGATCTTTAGATTAAATAAGACCTTTTTTTAATTGAATATAGAATTTAATAAAACCTTAATAATGTTTAATAAAATAATTTATTATTTTTAAAATTATTTTTAAACATTAGTTGTAAAGTTTTTTTTTCATTCAATTTGTAAAAACACAGTCCTTATCGTAATAAGAGGCTATTAAATGCTATGTAGAATATTATTTTCAGCAAGTTAGTTTTAGGTTAGCCTAAGGTTAATCTAGTTGCTAAATCCTATTTTGAGATATAACTTAATATGGATAGGTATATATTTTTTCTATATACTAATTGGTTATTATATGCCTTACAGAAGGCAAAATGTTTTACTGACCTTTAGCTAAATATACATAAATATATTAAATTAATTTAATTTTATGTTATGTTCAAATATTTTGTAATTTGAGTATATATTTTTCAAAATTTAGAATCTGCAAAAGCTGGTTATTCTAAAAATATCAGTTATATTTCAAAATATTTAATCAATTTAAGTTAGTAATAAAAACTTGAAAGCTGCATGATTAACAATTTTGCCCTATACTGATCAATATAGATATATATTTTAAACATCTTCACTTCCAATAAGGCTGCTAGCAACTGGGCATTTCCAAAAAATCACGCACATAAACTTGTATATGTTTTTACTTTTGTCATAAACATAAAACTAGCGATCTTCAATTTACTCTCATTTAATTCTAATCAATATAAATATTTTGTTAACAAAAAATAGTAAACATTAGTAATGTTAACAAAGAATAAATAAAGTATGAAATGGAATCACACACGGAACAGAAAAACTTCTATTTTAGTTACTAGATAAATAAACTTTAATTCCTCAGAAAATATAAGTTTCACTGGTATACTTTTTCTTTTAAATAATATTTTAAACATAGTAAAGATTTCTAGAAAGTTACAGGATTGCACTATGAATCATAGAGTCACAGCAATCGTTTAAATGCAGCTTATGAATGATCACGCACGAAAGTCACGCACAGATGTTGCGAATTTGTCAATTTCATGTAGTTATTTTTATGAAAATAAATTGCTTGTGAGTATTTCAAGTGAAATATTATTCTATGACTCATATTTAATATATTTTTGATGAGAAATGACAGTCATCAATTATTTCTAGCTAGAGTATGGCGTTTTGAAAATTATTGTATATTTTTCAAAATGTAGCAATATTATTACTCAAAAAAATAAAATTGTAAAAATGTGTATATTTAATTTATTCAGAATGTGTATATTTAATTTATTCAGCCTAAAATATGATAAAAATATTTTTGTTATAACTGTTCTTTAAGAACAATTATAACAAAACAGAAATCTTTGCAATCTCTTGCAAAGTTCACTAGACCTACATGATCTTTGTGAGAGATATAAATATTAGTTCAGCTGTCTTATCTTGTAATGAGACAGTTGAACTCAAATTAGATAGTATTGATGGCTATTTTCCTTTAATTCGTAAAGAATCTAATAGTCACATGCTTGGCATTTGCATTTGTAAGAATTCACCCATTTGTCGGAAAAATTAGGTTCGAGTCCACAGAATATTCTTCTATGTGCTCTCTTTTAGCTCTACTGCAGTCTATCACCTTTCACTATGTTCTATATTGCTCTCTTTTATCTCAAGACTGCACTCTTTTTAATGTTATTTCTAATCAAGTTAACCGAGCCCTCCCTTTATCCTTCAGGCAATATTGTTGTTGTTGGTGAAATGTCTTGTTTTTGATCGTAGTCAGTGCTCAGTTTTTTCAAATTCTTATTTCTAATCCTAGTCAGTGCTCAGTTTCTTCACATTTATCCTTAGGTGCTTCTAATCACGTTTTGATCTCTCTAAAAATCAATATAAAAACTTTATCTCTTTCTTCTTCATCATCAGAATCCCCTATCACCATACTGCTTATAACTATTTTAAAGCTGACTGGAACTCTTTCCGTGATTTTCTTTGTGGAGGTCTTTGGGTAGAAATCTTTCGTCTTCCTGCTGAAAAATGTGCTACTTATGTAACTTCTAGGATTCAGGCTGACATATATCTTTTTTTCCCTTTCATCAATTCCAAGTAAAGCCTCACTTTACTCCATGGTTTTTCTCTCATTATGCAAACTACTGTATAAAGTAGTCTTACATAATATATAATAGTAAACTGACTCTGTATAACAGACTACTGTTTACTATTGCCGTAAAAATTAGACTCTGTAAAAAAGTTTTGCCTGACACCAAAACCAGCTATTCTCATGTCACAAAATCTTGCATTTCATCTTGAAAATTAGGCTCCAAAGACTTCCAGAGAATATTAAACAGTATGTATAATAAGATTAAATCTGTCATTCCATCTCTTTTACATGGTTCAAATTTTGTTACTTCACCTAAAAACAAAGCTGAGCTATTTGCTAAACACTTTTTATCAATCTCATCTCTTGGTTCCACTGATTAAATCAGTAGAATAAGAAGATTGAAATCAATATTGATGACCAGAAAGTTATTAGGTTCACGATGAGAGATTAAGGGTTTGTTAATTAAAGGCTCAAAAATTTTGCTTATAATAGGAAGAAAGCTAATGGAACTGTAATTAGACAAGTCAGATCGCTTGTTAAATAGTTTTGAAGATATAGATAACACCTTTGCAAGACTATAACTGGTATAGTGTTTGGGCCACAAGACCTTAAAAGATTCTAAGCAGAAAATCATTTTATATACAGAAACTGGAGTGATACAAATATCAAGCAATGTATTAACCTGTTTTTTTGGCTATATCAGGTAGGATGTGATTTGTGGAATCAAGAGATGAAAAGTTCTTAGCAAACAGTTCGGTTTTTTCATTAAGTGAGGTAACAAAATCTGAACCATCCAAGGGAGTAGGAATATCAGATTTGCCTTTATTATAGATAAGTTAAAGATGTTAATGTCAATGTTACAGATTCCCTAGAAGTCTCTGGATCCTAATTTCTGAGTTGAGGTACGAGATTTTGTGACCTGAGAATAGCAGGCTTCGGTATTAGATAAAATATTTTTACAATGGTTTTTAGTAATAGTTAATATATGTCTGTTTTATGGAGAATCATTTTGGAGATAATTATGGAAATAATAGTTACTATTGAAAATTGTAGCAGCAATTTTCAATTGTAAGCAAAAGTTGTGGCCTTAATGCTTGAAGAGTAACTGACACTAGAGCCAAGCCATTCATTGTGATGAGTATTAAAGTCATCAACAACAATGATATTGGCTAAAGGATAAAGTTAGGCTTGGTCAATTTGATCAGAAATAATATCAAAAAGGGTGCAGTCTTAAGATGAAGGAAAGCGATATAGAACAAAGAGAAAGGCAGTAGAGTAAAGTGGTGCTAAACAAAAGCACATAAAAGAACAGTTGGTGGATTCAAATCTAGTTTCCCCGACAAATGGCTGAATTTTTACGAATGTAAATGCCGAGGCCAAGCATGTGACTATTGCAGTCTTTACAAATTAAAGAAAGATCCATCAACACAATCAACACTAAGATTACAGGATGAGATGGCTGAAATCATATTAGTCTCACAAAGAGCAAGCAGGTCTGATGAACTTTGCAAAAAATAAGGCTGAACAGATAATTAAAAAGATTAATGAAAATATTTGTTGTGGTATCCATAAACCATAACTTTTGATTTCTCACCATCATTGTGAGAAATTAAGAGTTATGGTTGTTAATATAGTTTAATCAGATTATAAAAAAGTTGAAAGAATATTAAAAGAAAAGTTTTTGTAACATATTTAAAATTGTCCATGTATTATTTTATTTTTCTGAATTGTTCGTTAGAGATATATGCATGTTTTGTGTGTCATCTAGGATAAAATATATATATATATTTTTATTTCAAATGTTTTTGTCAAGCATAGAGAAAGTTGCAACTTTCTTTTGCTTAAATATTTATTAAAATGATAATATATTGCTTTAAAATGATTATATTTTAAAATGATAATATATGCATTAAAATGATAATATTTTAGTATTTAATATGATAATATTTTTCTATAAATCACAGCAATTAGAGCACAGAAACAAATATATTTTGGCGTCCAAAAGGTAGAAGGTCATATTAAGTTTGGAGCCTCCTTATTTTTTAAACATTTCACAGTTTTCAGGCGTCAAAAACAAAAAAAGACATGATTTTAATGATTTTTTAATAGCTTCTATCTAATATTTGTAATCCCGAGCTATATTTTTAATCCCGGGATTTCAGGATTACATTTACATAACCCAGGATTTTTAAATACTTGTTCTTGAAAGATTTTAACATATTATTTATTATATAAGATTTTAATAAAATTAATAAGAAATTTAAAATATGTTTAGAAAAAACTATTTGTTAAATTACAAGAAAATTCTTTGATTTTTTAATATTATACATACATTAAGCTTTATCAAGTTCACCTGTTATTCCTTTGCTTTTTTCAAGATTAAAAAAAAAATAGATTAGATTAAAAAAAGCTATATTAATTTAGTAACATTTTATTGAAAAAGGAACTTTTACTAGCTTTATTTTAGATTTGGACTGAACATTAGTTCTACCATTGTCGAGATACTGAAGGATCGCCACATCAGCAGGGTGCGACAAATTTTTTATTTTTAATGGATGCTGACGTTTAGTATCTTTAATTATTGACAAATGTCTAATTTATAAGAAACATGTCAAATAAAGAGTTTGATTTTCAAATAAGTTTTTATTCTAGTTAATAAGTTATTGAATATATCAAAGATGCTTATTGAATTTAATCAATTGTAATATTTTTAAAACAATTCGTTAAATTTATTTCAATTATTAAATTTATATTTTAATTATCAAATTTATTTCAATTTAATGCAGTTTAATGTCATCATTTAATGCACTTTGCAAAACATTTTCTAGCAAATTCATACAAAAAAAAAATTTTCTACTTATACCTCGTATTGTTCTGCATGGCAGAAAATAAATGTGAATTGGCATACTTGCCAATTCACATTTATTTTCCAGCAAGATATCTCTATAAAAGCTTAACAGTGAATTTGTCTTTAGTTTAGAGACTTTCTCCCTGAATAAAAGCCACTGCAATACACATAAGTTAGAAGTTTCTCTGCTTATCATATTGTTATGCTCATATAATTTGCAAACAGTTTTTTAATTCATTAAATCTCCATTTTTTTTACTCTAGCGAACCTGTAAAGGATTTTGACCATTTTTGACAATCAAAGATTGTGGTTTAAGATTTTAATGACTCTTGATTGAAATTGTGGTGGAATCATTTGTCTTTTTATTCTTTTGTTCTATCAAAAATTTTAATAAATTATTTTTTATTATAATAATCAAAATAATCATTTAGTTGTTAATAACAACTAAATGATTATTTTGATTATTATAATTGAAATATGATTGAAAATTGATTTAACAGCATTAAAAAAGCCTTATTTAAAGAGAATGAGATTGTTAGATAACAGTTATCTAACAATCTCATTCTCTTTAAATTAGGCTTTTTTTAATGCTGTTAAATCAATACCTTTGTAGATTAAATAATTTTCTTTTACTTCTAAATTATCTAGTAAACGTCCAATATTCGAGCCTGGATTAACTTGATAATGCGTCTAGTACAAGAATTCTTGCATCGAACTTATGCAAAATCTCACAAATTAAAATTTCTTATTTTTGAACCTCTAATGACAATGTTGTTAGTGGTATATACTATACTGGGTTTTTTATTTTGCATTTTGGTTCGTACACCAGCTTTATTGCCAGACATTACAGATGTACCATCAAAGTTAGCATTTACAGTATAGATATTGTTTAAATATAAATCTTGATTCATTTTGTTTGTTGTTAAACTTTTCAAAACAAACTCTATTGCATTTAATATATCATCAGCATCAACTGTCAGTGATGAGTTAATACCAGCAAATAAAGTTATTGGATTACCATTTTCAACAAATCTTAAAAAAACTGTTTCTTGTTCACTATTATTCTTATCAGAAGAACCGTCAGATAAAATTCCAATAAAAGAAGCATTTATTACGTCTAAACTTAAGTTACATTTTATTTCAGGCGAAGTTGATGAAACAAAGTTTTTACACGCTTTTTCACTTATGTAGTTCTTGCCCAACTTAATTCCATTTAACTTTTGTATTTCGCACAGCTGAGGATATTTTTTTAATAAGATCCCCTTTAACAACAAGATCCTGTTTAACAACATAATACAATATCCAAAAAAGTTTGTTCAATTCTTCTTGGTTATTCTCAGTAGTTTTTAAATTTGATTTCGATACAGTTTTCTCAAGACTTGGAGCTATATTGTGAAGGTTCTCTTGATATTTGGAAATGCAGACTTTATGCCCATCATCTTCATTGTTGCATAACGAGTATGTTCTTTTACAAACATTACATCCCTTTGTTACTGAATTGCTAATATTTGGATACTTTTGGAAAATCATACAAGAGAAACATTTGTTTGATTTGTCAATATGAATCCAGCTTGGTTGTTGCCCATGTTTTTTCTTGCTAAGCGGCAATCCATTTATGGTGTTCCAAAATATAAATTCTATATCTTTTGGCCATATATACAATTTTTTTCTCATACTTAGTTTTTTCTCTCATTCTCCTTTGTATTTAATGATATGCTCTACTGAACCATCTTTCTTTTATATCAAAAAGATGCTTAGTTGTTTTGACATTTTTGAAAAAACTTTTTTAAAACATTTTAAAAAAATAATATATTAAGTATTTAATAATTAGTTTAAAAAAATCATATTATTAGTGTTGTTAAACGCATAATAAAAAATTAAAACTATAAAAAACATAATAATTTTATATATTCTATTAAAATATGTATTTTTTAGCAAAACTTAAAAAATTTTTTCAAAACTTTTAAAAGTAGTAAAGTGTTTTTTTAATATGCAAACAAACCTTACTTTGCTTTAAGGAAAATAAGAAAATTTAAAAAGAAAGCAAGCTATTGAAGAAAGCAATTGTTGAGTTTAAGCATAGCTTTTTTTAAAGTAATTACAAATGCAGTCATTTTAAGAAAAATTTTTAATGCTTTTCTAAACGCATGCAAAAACCATCCTCAAACATAATTACTTTCTTTGTTCCATTGAAGAAAACGATTTTAACGTGGTTTCTTTTAAAGTCTTTAAAATGCGTTTAAAATTTTTGTAATTAATTGTTTTTTATTGCCATATAAAGCCAAAGATTTATCTTCTGGTAGACATATGTCTATTGATGCTTTTTCTATACAATTTTTTAATAAACAGGCACATTAAAGTATTGACAAAAGGCTGTTCTTTCTAGTTTTGCAGTTTTTTATTAGAGTTTTTTGCTTCCAAAATAAAGCTGCAACATACTTCTGCAAGATATTATTTTTTCCTTGGTGATTATATGACCATCACTATTAATTTTTGTATCATTTTGATCACTGGACTGCAACTTACTTTAGTAACATCATATTGGTTTCCTCGATGACCATTATGAATCGCATCAAGATTGACCAATTCATTGTTGTCAAAAAAGTCATCATCCTCACAAGAGTTACTCTCTGAAAAATTGGCTTCAATACCTGATTGTTTGTCTTTGGCAAATTGCTGAAATTTTTTACTTTCTATATCCTGCTTTTGATATAGTACTTCAGTAAATACCAATTGCACACCATGGGCAAAACATAACTGTTGATTTAAAGATAATATTCTCCTAACTTTTTTAATCACACTTACTCAATCATAATACTAACAATATTTTTTCGGAAATCAAGTCCATGTTGTGCAAGCTTTTGTTCCAATAATGTATTGAACAAAGCTCAATACATGTATCTGCAGACATTTATCCTGTTATATGAATTAAACCTAAGCTTCAGAACTGGCAACTTCATGCATGCAAATTAATATCCATGTAGCAGCAGTTACGTAGTGATGTCCATTCAAGATAAAGAAAATCTTTCTCCTGCACAGACATCAGGGGTTTTTTTGCGGGTTATTTCAGTAATTAAAAAAAATTTTAATTTTTTTGCTGTCATCTTCAACCATTTTATGCACTGTTGTAAATTTTTGAATCATGTAGCTATAAACCTGCACGTATATCACTAGATTGCCATATAACGTTGAATGAAATTTTATGAAGGACTGTTAATTGTGCAATTGTTGCAGGAAGTGAGTTTTCTTTTGGCTCCAATATTGGAAAATAATTGTTTAACATTTTGAGTTTTTTTTTCGTGGTTCTTCTGGTTTGCTGAAATAGTAGCTGGTGTGAGGTTAATTTTATGGACAAAAAGAAAGAGCTAATGGAGATCTATTGTTGCATTATCTCCAATTCTTAAAATCATATTGCAGTCAGCATACTTACACATCGCTGTCTGCCCTTTATCTTCTCGTTAGAAATGTTTCCAAACCATAGAATTATTTTTTTGTCATGTTTCATGTAAGAAGCCATTATAGTTCAAATAACCAGCAATTTTAATTTAATTAAAACTAGTATTATCAAATAGTCACATACAAATAACGTTTAACTGACATTAAAATTGTAAGAAACTTGAATAAATGCGACTAAGCACCAACAAATTTTAAGAATGTAATTGCGATCTGATTTCAATAATTATAATTAATCAAATCCAATTATTCTTAAACATAGTTGCAGGAATTTCGAGTTATATGGAAATAGAAATAGTCAATATGGTAATAGTCAAATCTCAGCTGAAAAAATTTTAATGTTCAACCAAAAACGATTTAAAAAAAAAATTCAGAATTAAATGCTTAATCTCAGGATTTTGGGATTGTTAAAAAGCCCGGGATCCTGGGATTCCCAACCCTACTACTATCTCAAGTCAACCTTGAAGAAAGAAGTTTGAAAGAAAAAAAAACTATAGTAAAAGATAACTTTAACCAAAGGTTTTTAAAAAAAGGAGCTGTGTTTGTTTTTTCCTATACCAGCTATCAATTGTATTGTATCAATTTTAAATTCTGGCAATTCTAAATCTTAAAACCCTGTATTAAAATTAAAAAAGGTCACTGGTCCTGGAAATCATGAAAATGTCATGGAAATTCATTTGATCATTGAAAAACTCAAAATTTTCATTGAAAGTCATGAAAAATTCATAGATTAGTTTAAAAAGATCTTTACCTTTTTTGCTACTAATGATAAATTTAAGATATTTGCAAAGAAAAGTACTAGTATGTCTTTGTCTAAGAACTTTATGAAAAAAAATATCATTGCAGTGTAAGTTAAAGATTATCATTTTATTGCAATTAGTCAGGTCGGGTCTTTTTTTAACTTTTTGTAGAAGGTTGGATCACACTTTTTTTAGAAGAGAGTTAAAATTATAGTATTTTAAGGTATTAAGTAAATAAATAATTAAAATACATTCTTTAATTTTATTTAAGTTTGAATCAATGAATTATGGTCACCTCAGGTCATGCTGTTTATTGTTTTCTGGTCACCATATTTATTGTTTACTTTTTTTTTTTTGTAAAATTTTGAACATATTTTTTGAAAAAATATACTTTCTTGCAAAAAACTAAAAAACTATTTTATTCTTAATCTGCTTTAAAGAATTTCTTATTTAGAAATATGCTAAAATGCCTAGTATGCAATTCTCA